CACTTGACCTGTGGAGATTGTGGAGTCCAGCTTTCACAGCATTTGGAAGGTCTACCAGTGACGCTCAAGTTGGAGCCAGTTGGTCAGCTGCTGTATTCCCATTGCAAGTACATGGCTGAAAAATCAAATCTACTCATTTTAGAAGAATCACTCCTGTGAGGACTAGACCTATTAACCTCAAATGCCTTCATCTAAAAAACATATTGGGCCTGTTACAGAATCAATTTCAGTGATACTCATACAAAAAAGAAATATTTTCAACTGGACTGGTTGAAAATAATAAAATAAATAGTAGTTATGTGGGGGAAAAGTGACAGTAAAGAGTTAAGTGGCATGCAAATCAGCTTTTGAATGAAAAATACTAATATATAATTATTTGGATAGGGAAAAATAGATATGTTATTAAAAACATGATGATTTTTCAGACAGGATGTTACAGTCAGATTTTAAACCCATATATACTGTTGTTCCCGTTACAGATTTAATCCCTTCTCATATTTAATCCCTCATTCTCCTCTGCCCTTGAACCCTTCCACAGCGCAGTTAACAAAGACAGGGTTAGGCTTCCAACACTTAGAGAAGTACCCAGTCTGCCAAGAGGTTTTCAGGTATTACTGCTGTGCTCATTGAGACTCACACCAAATGTGAATGAACTCCCAGTTTGAAGGTGCCCTATGGTAACAACCATTAGGTTTGTCTGGTCATTAAGTACATAAATTTAATTCACACTATGAGTATATGACAGAAACCATTAAAATACGTCATTTCAGTAAAGCAGCTTCCATGCTAAGTATTTCTCAGTTTGAAACTTAGGAATCTAGACTTCTGTTACCCAGATTTTAAAAGGATTCTGCTTCAAAAGATTTTTTACTACTGTCTTTTATCTGCACAACAGAATATACTTTTTGGTCTCCTAGGGAACATGTGTTCAAGTTCACAGATCAAAGTAGTACCTACTACTACTACTAGTACCTAGTCCTAGTCATGAAGTGAACTGTGCAACTTAGAATAAGTTAAGGTTCTGTTGAACTGAGACTTCACCTTTATTTAAAATAACAATGTAAGAAGTTAAAACCACAGAAATGAAAGCATATAGACTGAATCTATCTTTGTAGTTTTTAGGAGCTGATAAAACATTTTAATACTCAGTCAAGTTATTGTGATTAATGATATCGTATTAGCAAATATCAGTAATGTATCTCACCTGCTTTGTATTTGGGTTCCTACAAAGAGCCACAACAGTTTTTATGGTTGCTACTAATATTTATTACCAATTCAATCATATTTATACATAACTATGGAAAATTGCATTGCATGCTTGACATATATTTAGTTTTCTCTCTAATTAGTAATTATACTTTATTGCATTATTTAAGTTATAATAGAAGCCCTGTTTATCCTAATTCATGTTTTTTAATGTATTTCATGTACATTATATGTATGTGCAAGGGTTCATGCAGTGTTGTCCATTCACATCTCTCATACATATGAGCTTGCCCAATTTCTTAATGTAATTTCTGTTGTCGGTCTTTCTGATTTTCCCCCCCCGGTTTTTAATTGTCATAGTAGAATTTATACTTTTCTGAATTTAAGAAAATCTTTGAAAACTAAGCAATATTTTTGTAAAATGGCCTTCTCCCCCAACAATACATTTCAAAGAAAACATGCAATGACTCCTGTTAGTATCAGCTCTATTTAAAGTTGATCCATTGATACATGGTAGATCTTCTTTCAAGGTATCTCTCTACCAAATAACTATAACGTAAATTAAAAGGAAACCCATGGAGTGGGTAAGTTTTCAGTGTTACTATCAGTTGTATCATACATCATGTTTCCCCAAATGTATGAACAGTCTTGAGACTGCCTGTTCTATGAAGACAGAAATTAATATAAAGGAGCAGCCCGGGAAAAGGTGGCAGGAGGACTCAGGTTAGCTTTTCTGTAATTTCAGTAAGGTCAGGTTTTATTATTGCTTGTCAGAACAATACCACGCACAACTGAAAACCAGTTAGTGGTGGGGAGGTGCTAGCATGATGGCACGCGTCTAGTCCCCACGTACAAAAGGAAAACTATGGCAATTAAAGTAAGAGCATGAATAAAGGAGCCGCTGTTCAAAACCCAAACTAACTGCAACTTCAGCCCTGGAGTCACGGGCCTGTCGCACTGATAGGAACAAACAGGAGAAGGGCTGGGCTAACGCAGTATTTGTCTGCCTTCTGTGAGCCTGGGGTTTTTCTGTCTGATGTTTGAAATGCAACTTTCAGCGCCTTCTCCCCCTGCAACCACTTCTTCTCTTTGGCTGTGCTGGATGTGGTACACCACAGGAAATCTTGATAGCGGACTCTAGAGCAAAATGAACACTCTTGCCTTAAGTGATGTTAGTGCATTTTTCTGAGGGAGAAAGCACAGCTTCTTCTATTTTTTATTTTTTTTTATTTGAGTTAGTGTTTGTTCCTGCGGCACACAGAGGATTCCACAGCTTTGAAATCATGGGAAGATACATGGTCCTCTTAATTATAGGAACACCATTTGTACTGCTATGGTTAGAGGTCTGCCAGCATTTCCATTACAAACCCTGGTTCAGTGTTTTATAGTTCAATCACAAAAATGTGGTGCTGCCTTTGTGACTCTTGAGTCAGGCCATGATTTGTTCCCCCTCCTCCCCAGAAAAAAATTTGAAAAAAAAAGTGGCTGGTTTTAAAGTATGAAAGCAATAAGTAAGTGGCAAGATGTTGACTATACAGGACGTCGCATTCCTACAGTTTAGCAAGAAATTTATTTTTAAATTGCAGTATAGGTGACCTTTACTGTATCGTGCTTTTGCAAGTGCATTTGGCTATTTTGAAACTAATCAGTTTTGTATGCTTACGTGCCTTAACTTAAATTGGTTAGATTATAACAGATCCGTAAAAAGCAATTCAATATATTTTAGATCTAAAGACCAACTCTTGAAATGGTTCCTAAGCAAGAGTTAAATGAAAGACTGTCAAAGTATTCCTAGTTATCGATTCCTACAGTGTCAGTCTAAGTACCCAGAAGTTCTGCAAAAAATCCACGTTGCCTTTATGCAGGCACTGAAATGGGGCAGCTACAGTTGCACAAGTAATACACAGCACCGAGAGATGGGGTTTGGAATGGTTCTCATTGCTGTTGCCTGTGGCGGTAAGCCTTGGTTTCAAATCTCAAGGATGTCCTTGCTCAAGATGGGCATATGGCATCTTAACTAACAGAACAATTTAACTAGCATTGCAGTAAATTTTTCATAACTGCAAGTCTTTAAATCAAATCTGGTTTTCTCCTAAAAAGACATAGCTTTGGATTTGCTGCCGAAATCAATGAAAAACTTCCATGGCCTGTGTTGCGTAGATGGCAGCTGTAGGACCCTGTAGCTTCATGGGGCTTTGAAAACCGTGATATGGTAAAGGAGTAGGTCCAAAGATTCCTCCTTTTCCTTCTGATGGGGCAGAACAGAAACTGAGATTCTATAAAAAAACATGCAACCTGGTTTTGTTTGCTTAGATGTCTTTTATATGTTTTAAAAAAAGAAATCAGAAGAAACCAATATTGCATCAGTACGCATTTTAGGAAAATCCATTAAAAAGAAAAAAGAGATTCATGTATTGTACTAGGAATCTGACAGTAAGTTGTACGGAATATGTACCTTGCAGTGAATGCCCACATGTTCTTGTGTGGATTTGGCTTTCAGTTAAAGTATTTTTAAAACAGGCATCCTTAAAAGCATATTGAAAATAAATGTTTAAGATATAGGAAAAGCATGTGTGAATTTTAATTGGCTCTATAACAAATAGGTTTGGATGTTACCAAAAGCCAGGTGACCTTCCTGTTCTTTATCTCTTGATCTGAATGTCAATATTTACATGACATTTTCCCTGTAAATACCTGTTTGTGTTTATGTGTTTCTGTGCAATGGTGTGCAAAGCACAGCGAGATGTGTGAACTCCATTTAACCTCTTGACAATCCTTTGCAAGTATTTGGAAAACAAATTTCTCATTAAGTCTCTAAAAATTCTTAGTTTATTTTCTAAAGCATCGGCTTTGCCTTTGATTGTATTTACTCTGTTAAAATTTGGTACTAAATGAAGGTTTCAGACCCCGTAACACTTACTGTCCTGCTGCTGCCCAGTTTAATTACATGGTGAGGGTGTTCAGTTTTTTATTTCTAGTTATAATCCTGTTCTACTATTTGTATTTATACTTGGTTGAGAGAGGTTCAATATAGGTACATTTTAGGTGGAGGAAAAAGAGAAAGAAGTGACAGCTGTACGTATGACTGGGAGATCTAAAACATCTTCAAATGAAAGATGGAAAAAAACCTGGTTATTCACAGAACTTTCCGAGAGACAGAACCATTATTATTTGATTGAATAAAGCATGTTAATATGCCTCTGTGTATTTAATTTCCTAATAAATGGCTGAGTTATTACTTGCATTCTATGCAGAAGCTGGAGCCTCCCTAGAGAACTTGCATATTCTATAACAGAAGCTAGGAATTGCCTTTAAAGAAAGGGTTTTTTGTGAATTAGATATCACTGCTTTCATAAGTGGTCACAAAAAGAATTTACAGCCTTGCTAAATAATGGAAATCAAGGGGGAAAGGTGATTAATTTGACATCATTAATGATTATAACCTTGGAGAAGTGAGTTCATGGGTCAGAAAACACAGTAGCAAAACATAAAATAGGAAATAGGAGAAATTCAGTTTTAAAAGTGAAGTCAAAAGAAAGAAATACAAAAATAGTTCAGATAGAATTACACTGATTGTATGTATTGGGAGTAACGTAGTACTCGGAACACATGCACAGTAATTAATCAGAACACCTAGTCTTACACAGGTGAATAACACGTTTGAATGACCACACGACAAGAACAACTTTGGCTTCATTATGGTCATGTTTAAATAATTTTCATAAATGATGTAGCTGAATCATTTAACTCACGCTTGCTCTCTCTAATATGTCTGTTTTTGTTTTCCCCCTTAGCTAACAATGCCAACTTTTCCTGTTGTTGTGAAGATTGGACATGCTCATTCAGGCATGGGAAAGGTGCAGATGCTACATACTGCATGCTAGGAGGCTGGGTGTTTGTCTAAAATAATATGCATGTTCTTCTGTTTCCTGGATATTTTAACTTTTCACTGTCCAAATTCTGTCTCAGATCCCTACACTTGCAAATCTCTGCTTGTCTATTAGTCAAGAAAGCACCTCTCTTTAGGAGAATAATAAAACGCATAATACATTTCCACATTGATGCCTTTTCAGTTTATGCCTTGTCCTATATAGGACATTCTTCAAAACGCACTGAGATGCTTTATTGAAGCAGAACCTTATTTATTCATTTAGTTGACTGCAGTGAAACTATTCAAGAGTCAGGGTCTGTTTGCACAGTCCAACTTCTTGGACCTGGGAATATAGGAAGATTTTGCCTTGGTTCTTTTTTAGTTTCAGCTTGATCCTGAACTTTTCTTCATTTCCTGTCTTAATGTGTTCTCTGTGATTGTTTCATACCACCATATAACTGCTGCTTTCTTTCTCCAAAGTAATTGCATTTCAGTGGTGAGTACAGTTGTTTTGATATCACTTATCTCACAATGATGGTTCAATGGGATATGATTTAAATCCCGCTTTCATTGATATCCATGAAAATTTCTAGTCATTACAGATTAACCACTTTCTCTCACTGAAAACACTTCAGTGCTTTAAGTGCTTTAGATTTTAAAACAAATCGTCAGAGAATAGTTACATTTATCATCTTGAATCTCCAAAAGTTCCATGAATGTAGTATTTGCCACTAGCAATATAAATAGAAAATTGATTTAATTGTATTTTACTCAGTAATTATGCAAGTTGTACTGTATGTTATGTTCTTTTGCCTATGACTGGTTTGCTTTATTTTGTACTTAGTAAGTTAGTGGAAATCTGGCAGCCCACGTATTTGAGAGCAGAATTAACCACTAATTACTTAAACTGCAGTTTCTGTGGATTGCATATGTGAAATATTGGAATGTTTATACTGTACTTTCGACATCCACTTCTTGTTTCTGGAAAAGGGAAATAATGCACAGAAATGTTCAGCATATCAAAAGTCTAGAAATAATTCTAGATTTTTTTTTAGCTATAAAATATTTAAAATCCTTAAAGATTAAATGCCAGTCTTGTAGTGAAATGCTTACTGTCAGAGTCCAAAGAAAGGTTCTCCTCATCCCCCAGCCCTCCTTAAAGGCATTGCTAGGAGCAATGTTTCCATTGGTCGTAATTAGACTCACATACGCTATTAAGTTTTCAGACGCTAAGTTGAAACCAGGCATTGCGTCTGGTTTTGTGGCTCTCAAACATGGCAAATTACTCTATATTGTTCTCCATCTGAGAGCTGAGAGCAAACACTTAGGCCTTACGACTTCTTTTAGCTTTACCAGACCCCATTTAATGTGCAAGTCCCGTCTCACTGCTGTGGCACTCTAGCCCAAGGGTTCCCTTTCAAGTACTGTGTGACAGTGGAAGCAAACAAGACGCTGGGCTTGCAAAGAGTTGCAGACTTTCCTAATATTAGATAATATGAGAAATACTAATCCCTGCCTCCTTTCCTCACCATTCTGAAATGTACTTTGGGTCTGTGTGTTGGAGTTCCAGTTTCCCTCTCCTGTTTTCTACCAGCCCCAAGACTTCTATTCTGAGCCTCTTTTTCTCCCACTTCAGCCAGCTTCCTTTAAGTTAACCGTAGAGATGTGCCCTCCCTGTCCAAAATTAATGCCTCTGTCCTCCATCTGTCCTCTAAAATCTCCTCCTCCCTCTCCCCCTAAATCAGTTTTCCCCACTTTTCCACCTCACTCTTATTTCAAGATGTTAAAGTTGATGGGTTTAGTACCATTCACCATCTTAGCAGTGTTCCGCAACGAGGAAATTCCTTGCAGAAAAGTGGGAAAAATGAGAAAAACTGGTTCTGCTGTCTTGAGCCGACCCTCTGTGCTCCATGTGAATGCGCACTCAGCAGGATATTGTGACCCTTCGTCTCCTCCCTCCCAGGAGATACATGTTGTGATAATATATGGTGGGCTCCATGTACATTCAGTTACATGAGCAATTTACAGAATCAGCAAGAATCCTGTATAAATCAGCGTTGTATATTATCACGCCTTGAAAAATTCTAAAGCCTGCAGATCTAAAATAAACAATCACCACTTAAAAAAAAAATTTTGAAAAGCAAAATAAAATTCCACTGTCTGCAAATTGCTTTCTACAGTTGAACAGGTAGTATTTTGCCTAGAAAAATAGACACTTTAATGCAGAAATGTTATAGAATCTCAAAATCAGATAAAATATCCAGTACTTTTTTTTTTATAAACTGATGCTATCAAAAACCTTACTTCTCATAAATGCCATTTGCAACTGAATTCTACATTTTATTCCTAATTGCTCTTTTTTCTTTTGTATATGCTGTTTACTTGTGGTATGATGACTACAGATCAAGGTAGACAACCACTACGATTTTCAGGACATAGCCAGCGTGGTAGCACTTACTCAGACCTACGCCACTACTGAACCCTTCATAGACTCCAAATATGACATCAGGATCCAAAAGATAGGCAGTAACTACAAAGCATACATGTGAGCCAAAACCTTATCTTCTTTCATCCTTTTGTTTCAAAGTCAATAGGCACCAGTAAGATTAAGACTGTTGGATGAGTCTGAGCTGATGTGGTGACTCCGTGCCTCCATTGTAACACTCTCTGGAAAGACAGTGTTTTAGACTTTCTAGATTTATCAAGACTTATTTTTTTAAGTTGATTGTGACTGGGAGGAAGAGAATAAGATGCCAGGTCAGCCTACCAGAGTGGTTTTCCTGCTAACCTTTGTTTATTTTTTCATTTAAAGAAAGGAGCAGTTGGAAGGGGATTTGTTTTGATAGAGGACTTGTTAAATCAGATTCCTTTGTGTCTTTTCACCAAATTAGGGTCAAATTTTCTTCTCCCTCTAAGGATATTTAGATGGCATTAATTCACACAAACCTGAATCATAACACTTTAATGGAATGAAGTAATGGCCTTTTAACATAACACATGTAAGAAAAATTCTAATCTTGCAATGGCCTTCACATATATCGATGAAAATCTCTTGTAATTTTAGAATCCAGGTGTTTGTTTAAAGGTCGTGACTATACAAGAAGCTAAAAGGGTGTTTCAGTTTCAGAAACAACATTAAGCTGGAGCAGCAGAACAGGTTATTGTGTAGTAGTTGAGCATGATAACTGTATTTATGCATATCTTTATTCTATTTCAATTACCAAGCAACATAATCTGACATACACTCATTTCATTCATGTTTTTAAGACAAGTTAGATAATCTCATGTATTTGTTCCCTTGTGCTTACAATTCTGAGGCTGGAAAAAACATAACAAAACATGGATAAAAATACACATGCATTTACATATGCACACCCACATACACATGCAAAGATACTTCTCTAGGAACTCCTGTAACATCGGAGGGATCAGAGCTTGTATGCTGACAATTGTAAGGTTCAGTCAAGTTAAAAAAATTGCATTCCAAGCAAACCATAAATACTAAGAGAAGCAAAAAATTGGAGCTGGGTTAAAGAAAATGCATAAATGTTTTATTATATTAAAGACAGAGTTGGCATTAAGCATCAAGTATTTTAGGAACAGCCAACAACCTCTATGAGAAAGTAGAACCTTTTGCCCCAGGCCAGGGGAAGGGGCAAGATATAGCTCCTTGGGCCGGTATTGGAAGGCCACATACTCTTGATTTCTCCCCTAAGACATTACTGCCACAAGATTAAAACTGTATGAGTAACTGCTGGCCTTTCCTGTTATATGGCTATTTGAGAAAGAACATCAAAGATTAGGCCTTTCAAGAACAACTCAGTAGTCCATCTGCCTCTCACTGTACATCTGAGGGGCATCAAGAAAGCACAACACAGAACTGGGTGGAAATACTGTTCCCATAGGTCAGATCCAGCAGTATGGACTCTCAGTCCTTCTGCTTTATTTTGAACCCAGAACTATCTAAATTTTGCAAAAACAGTGTGTTGGAAATTTGAGTTGTACACAGTAACCAAGGCAGAACACTCAAATAGCTTGCGAGGGTTGAGAAGTTTCTGGAATCCTTTGTTGGTGATTTTCTGTGGTTTTGGTGATGCAGGACAGAAATTCTGTAATTCAAGCTCCCTACAGAATTTCAGGTGTGTTGGCCCTACCCCACCTCTTCCTGTGGGCAGTTAGAATGCTAAACATATGCTTCTGAAATACACAGCTTTTAGCCCCTGGCTTCTCCAGGAGAGTTAATTCCAATTCTGCTTGTTTGTCATACATTGGTGTTCCAGACTGTTGACTTTTTCTGGCTTTAGCCCCTTATCTGGAGACATCCATCCTACTTTTTCTAATAGCACTATGCTCCTACATCCCAAGGCCACCTCTCTCCTATCTGTACAAACCATACCTCGGTCCAGTCCCACCACTTTCCCAGACCACTTCTACCTTTCTGTCTCTTAGTCCTTAGCCCTTACGCCTAGCCTTTTTTATTGCCCCAGCTTTTCCCCTTGCCCCTTTTATTCTACTCAGTGCCATTCAACAGCTTTGTTCTCCCTTTACTTCCTGTTGCCAGTCAGCCTTCTTTCTCTATTTCAGAACTTTTCATACAGCTACTTCTGTCTCTTTGAGGCTAGGGTAGTACTTTTCTCTCTTGTTGGTGCTTTGACATGCAGATTTCTTGTGTTGTGCTCCCCATCTCTCCCCTCCTCTATTGTTTATGATAAACAGTGTTGATTTGCCTCTGTCTTACAGCTCGCAAGTGGCAGAGTGTTAGGAATAAGGCCCAACTCTTAATGGCTATGACCCACCAACTGGTACCAGCAGTCAGATGCAGCGTTAGTAACTTGGTGGTTCATTGCCTATGGTAGAAAATGGACCACTACGTTTCATAGGAGAGAGCCCTACATTTTTTTCTTTGACTTGAAATTTAAATGCTATTCAGTCTCTAGAATAATTTTGGAAGAGTCAGCCATGGTAAATTTATCATTTTCGAACATAAATGTTTCTTCTTCACAGAAGCAGCAGTTGGCCTAAGGGACAGCAAAAATAAGTTAAAATGACAGCCTGTTCCTCCTACCTTTTATTTATTTTTAAGTTTCTACTCAGAAACTATGGGTTCATCCAAATGCTAAAAGCCCAGCAATCATTTTTCTCTAGATTCTTTCATACAGTTAAATCACACACAAAAAAATGAAATGCCGATCCATTGTTAGAGCATTGTGAAAAGAAGATTTACCAAATGTCTGAAAAATTCTTCATATGCATACATATACATTGTGTCAGTAGAATATTGTTTTACAGCTGGTTCTCATTTTGTTCTGTGACACAGGAACAGAGCACTTAGAGAGTCACCACAAAAAACACCAGCTGAACATTTGGTTTTGTAGTTTAGAGAGTTATTAAGAGCTTCAGTTTTATAATTCTGTGGGAAATTGTGGTATAAGTGGATCCATGACTCACAAAACACTGGTGCTTAGAGATTATAGCCGAAATGCAACACTGGATCCCTCCAAATACCACAGCTCCTCAAAATGTTTTGTGACGCATACTTAACTACACTTGGTACCATTACAGAATTCATCTGACTTCAAGGGAATAGAGTTAAAAGGATCACACACAATGAACAAAAACAGGAATACAAAACACACTGCATCTAAATCTCCTCTCCAAAAGCAATACTCCGAACCCATAACTTAATGTACTTTGATCAAAAGGTCAGTAAAACAAAAGTAGAGGACATCAACCAGAGAAGACAGTGCTACAGAATCGAACCACTAACGCTATCTACACAGTAATTGTAGGTAGACATTTCTACATATTTTTCTGACGACAAGTCCCTGTCCAGACAATTTGCATTGCATACTTTGAATGGTACTACATAAAGCAGAAAGGTGTTTGAAAAGGGGAAGCTCAGGTTACTATGAATTGTTTATACTAATCATAATTCCTTTTTTGCCAGTTTTAAAACAAAGACCAAATGAAGTGAAAACATGTTAAGCCTAAGCATAAAGCACTCAGAAGTGCTAGGAGTTGTTTTCTTTATTATTTAGTATTCAGTAAAAGAGGAGGAGATAACGATGTGAAAGACCCTTAGAAATTATCAAAACAGAAGTGAGGAAGGGTGGGAAACCTCCATATTTCAGTAGAGGAAATCATGTACGAATTACAGAAATCATATCTTAAGGTTTAAAGTGCCAGATGGTCTGGCCGGGTACTTTTATGTCATTAACCATGGTCTAATGGAACAGCCATGTTGTTTTGGACTTCTTCTGTGTGACAGACCTAGCATCAACAGCTCCAGCCCACAGGCTGTTGAGATTACACCAGTTAGGTCCACAGTGTTCACAGCATTCCTCTTGGTCCTCAGCTCGTCCCCACAGCATCATTACAGCCAGCCAAGCATCCAGTTGTGAGACTGCTTCAAGTTCCCCAGGGGACCTTTCATGTTGTGGAATGGAAGCCAGGCTGAAAGCAAACCATCTTTTCTCCCCTAGTCAGTAGTGCTGAGATTACATCAGTGCAGCTGAGGATCTTGAACTAAATACTTCCTAAAAGTCTCCAGGATTTTTTTTTTTTCCTGATTTGGTCACATCTTGCTTCCTAAAAGATACCTTAAATAGTACATGTGGATGAACGCCTTTGGGAAGTCTGCAGCAGAGTTGAATTGTGATTTCTGAGAAGTATTATCTCTCTGATGCAGACTATATGTGTTGTTATGAACTTAAAGTTTTTGATTTGTAAGTACACACATACGGATAAATACCACTTGAAAAATGAGGCAGAAATCACAAAGTAGCCTTATTACTGGGCAGAGTTACCTGACACACAGCGCTCACCATGCACCTTCCCCTTTCACTAGTTTCTCCCACATCAACAAAGAATATGGCACCTTACGAGAACTTTGTGCTCTAAAATTCAGCCAACCTTATGAGGCTTCCATGGAAAAGCCAGCATTCCCCCACAATTGTTACTGACCCTTGTAATTAGGTTAACAGAAAAATGGAGAGAAAACTATAGCTGCTGCCTAATATACTTTTAACACATTACAGATGTTCCTATTTTACTAACTGGAAACACTTCATAATTTGTATCCTTAGCCTATTCCCAGTACAGCATTTAGGTTTCAGAAAACAGTAATCTTCTCAGCCCTGGTAGCAGTCCTAAGGTCTGAGGAGAAAAAAACCAATTTTTATGATTTTTTTTTCTTGGAGATTAAATAGAAGATGGTATACTCAAGGCTTGACATAAACTGTTTAGATTATATTAGTAAACTAGCAAAGATTGAAAACGGGAGGAGAAACGAGCTCTAAAACAGATCTGAAATCATTTCAGAGATGTTAAAAAGAGATCTTGATTTTCAAGTATTGGGACCTAATTCTGGTGGTTTGGATTTGAAATGAGAAGCTGCAGCTTCAGTTTCTTGACATCTGCAGTAGTAGTGCGTTACAGGCTATTCAATCTATTTATAACTGATAACAGCTTATTGCTAACACTTTCACTTAATCATAGGGTTTTCTTTTAAAAAAAGCCTTAAATGACTAAATGGGGAACAGACATTCGCAGCACTGTCATACTTCATCGCATGCCTACAGAGAAGTGAGTGTTACTGACAATCCTGATGCCTGTTAGAATTCTTCATGTTTTAGGTGTTCTGCCAGATATGAAAAAGGTGTAAATACTGCTGTAGTATTTATGTGAAAATCAGAGTAATTTAAGAGATAGTGACAATATAAAACCGCTGGCTGTCTTTGTAATATTTTCCCCCTTTCAGGAGAACTTCCATATCCGGAAACTGGAAGACAAACACAGGCTCTGCAATGTTGGAACAAATTGCTATGTCAGATAAGTAAGTCGAGTCTCATGTAAAAGGTAATTAAAAAAAGTTAATGGAATTTTATTTTAAATGGAGTTTTTAAATCTCACAGTAAATGCATGTTTCCCATTCATTTTGGAAAAAAACCCTTTGAAACAGATGAAAGAACATGAGCCAAGAGTTTCCATATGACTTGTCTCAGGGTTAACTACCCAAAGTACAGCCTTGGGTGCTTACATGCACCCTTGGGTTCCTGCATCCATATCTGCACCTAGAAAACTACGGGAATCCCCTTCAGAAAATGCCATTTTTCAGATTCAACCTGTCAGGCATTCCCTCTGGTTCATTTGCCTTCTTTTACCTAACAGTCCTACTCCATGACACAGTGTTTTAAACTTTTCTCCTTATATATCATGTATTCTAACCAAGCAATCTGGTCTTAACTTTGCCTATTTAAATCTTGTTCCTCTTTTCTACTTTCAATCCTGCTAAACTGCTTATTTTTCATTTTTGAAATTTCCACTGAAGTGCACTGTGAGGCTTTTACCCAGATGCTGGGTTATACTGAAGCTTATTTTCCTCATGTCATCATTCCAGCTCTGCACTTTGGTTTACTATGCTTTTCTTTTTCTCGCCCACCTTCATGCTGGACACTTTTTGCAATCCCGTCAAAAACATTCTCCTTGCAGTACCATTTTGCCCCTCAGGTCTTCTGTTGATAGAACTCTTCTTTCAGTACCGCTCATTTGCTCCAAGTTCCTCCACAACATACAGGCCTCTGTTCCCTGCAAAATACATCTTCAGCTTCTCCAAAGGTGGAGAAGCTTCCAGTGGAAGCTGAAAAAAGCTCTGGACAATAAAAGTGTAATTTAAAAGGTGTTTTAAACTTCAACAGTAGTATTTCTGGTGGATTGGTTTGGTCTTTTTTTTTTTAAAGTCTGGAGCCTACAACTTGGTCCCTCTTACGAGCTGAGGGAGACACAGGAGCTGAACTGTTGCCTGCCCTGAGAGAGGTGAAAACAAATAAGACGGGAATTACAACTCCCTGCTGTCCAACCCCTGTCTAGACTGTGCCCTCACTGATCTCCCCTCTGGGGATGGAGTGGAGCCACATTATTTTCTCTTTCTCATTCCCCTCCCACCTTCTTTTAGAAAGTGAGGTTATGCCTTCACCAAGAGGGAAAAGAAAGTGTGTGCTTTAGTGTGTATAATTACAGTCTGTGAGCTATTCCTCTGTAAAAACACAGGCACTTTAGTTTTGCTGTAAGGAAAACTAAACAATAGCAAGTATGGGTAATGAGTATGAAATGCCAACCTTGCCTAGCTACCTGACTATAAATGCTCTATGTGCTTTTCTTCTGCTTCCGTTTTTGAATGTAAGATAATTAGAGCATAATAGGTATTTTCCCATTAAAAAAATCACAAGCTAAAAAAACAAAACTTCTTTTATGCTGATGAAGACAAAGGTGTAGGGAAGACGGATGTTTCCTCATAACAGAAAGGGGTAGGTATCACACAGCCCCACTTTTAGTTTGATTACACAGTGAAGCACACAAAGCAGAGCGAGGAAGAGAAGGGAAAATTGAAATTTTCTGAAGAGTTGAAGTAGTTTAATGGCATACCAAAAGCAATCAAATCTTATGCATGTGCATTTAATTTATAATACATCTTATGATTTAGGAAGAAGTGTTTTGAAAGCACTGCCTGAGTTGACAGTGTTGAGTGAATGCAAATCTTAGTCTAGAAATTTATACAAGAAAGAAGCTTATGGCACAGTAAGGGACAATGACAAGGCAGAGAACAAGCACATTTCCGTGTTAGATGTTCTTCTTGACCCCTCTATTTCAGAGAGGCACCGCTCCCCAGATAGGACCAGAAGAAGAGACACCTGTGCTCATGGTGCACACCTCATCTGGCACACCAGATATCTCTTGTCAGACACGTGAGGAACAATACTTTATTCTCTGTCAGTTCTAAGGCTGCTGCACACTATATTTGCTCTGGGAAAATAAGAACCGTGACCTCTTGTCAAACCTACTGTGCAAGCCTTGTGTTTAAAACACCACAGGCTAGTCTATCCAATACCTCTCTTTCCAAATGTAACTGTATTTTTCCAGCTTTGTGTTTGTTGGCAGAAGATAGACTATTAAAAATGCTTTTACAGAGCTGATTGATATTTTGGTATTTTAAAGAAAAGGTCTTCGGGTTTTTTTCATGTGAAGTCCAGATACTTACTGTTAACGACAAGTTTTGCTGTCCTCATGACTTTCTAAGATACACATTGGTACTATACAGCAAAAAAAAAGTTATTTATAAGCAAGTGCATGCAAGCTGTCCAGTCAGTCGGTGCATCTACAGATGTTGAAATTGTCAGGCATCCAAAAAAACCTCTCATTTTGGACAAAAAACATTTCTCACAGGAAGAAAAACTATTTTCATTGCTAAAATATTACCATCAGGATTTTTTCAAACAGTTCTATCAATTTCTTTGTATTCTGCTTAAAATAAAAACTGGAACAGACTTGATATAAGAAAATACAAAGCATGTGACCTAATAAGTTTACTTGGAAATGATGCTGTTACTGAAGATATTTATGTATGAATAAGACTCTCAGCCCAGCAACGAGTTTTCTTTGATCCTACAGTGAAGTCAACTGCTATGTTTATTACAGCATTTTTTTTGCAATGGAAAATACTATGATGTGGCAAATCTATCATGACGGCTCAAAGGCTCGATCGGGAGAGAGCAGGAGAGGGTCTGTAAAAGGAAATAGCTCTCATCTATGCTCAAATATTAGCCAATGAAAGAGAAAAAGGTTTATAATAAAACTGGGGTGTTTTAAAGGAAAACATGTCCTTCAGTTGGTGGAGCTGTGATATCTACCTGTAGAACCTGTCAAGGTCATGTCATCACCCACCATAGCCCATGCACAGCTATGATTTTAGATAATGAAAGTTCTCAATACTATTTTGTGTCCTTTGAGTCAATCCTTGCCATCAAGCACACGCAGCTTACATCACCTCAGAACGCTCTCAGCAAGGTAGTATGACTCCCTGTTAGGTCACTAACAGTTCTGTACCTGATCACAGGAATTGCCTCACTGTTTTCCTAGTAAGGCCCATTTCATTCTCTTGTTAGTCAGATGATCTCTCTATTCATTGGATGGGTAAAGCTCTTCATGCAAGAAAAATAAATCATATTACTGCATATAGAATGGGTAAACTGTCCATTCCTTGGTCCGTAGTTCTTAACGTGAGGTTAGAAATGAAATGGGGGAGTTCTTATATTCAGTACTGTAGGAAACACTAGGCTTTTTAAGAAGTTTTAGAATTCCTCAGAATTCTTTACATTTCAATTGCATTTTACTGTAATTGTCTGTAACCCTACATGAAGAACATCATCCTTGTCTGCATGCTACGTACCTTTTACATAGTATCATACATCTGTTTCTCTTGCATCATCTAAAGGGTTGTTTTGTCTTGATTTTTCTTTTGCCTTATTCAGTGATGTACCTATAAAGCTATCATTGCTACTTCGGGATACAGCTGGGGCCGTAACTTAAGGCAGAGACTCTTGTTCTGCTTTTCCTGATAAACGAAGAAACCCCATCCATAATTAAGTACAGTCCCCAGCATAGCAGGCAAGAGGATTGCCACACTTGACTGTGCACAGATGCCCAAGTTTGAATTCCACAGGAAAACAGAAGCACCAGTCTCTACTTTCTAAAACCTCTTGGCATCGCCGAAGCCACAAAAACTGGTCAGATGATAAGTCCTCCTGAGGACCTCTTACATGAAGTACAGCCACAACGAGCAAGCTGTGCTAGCATACAGGCACTGCAAATGCAGGATGGGATATAGCTAAATGCTATTTGTGTTTCAGCATATCTAATCCCCAGGTTACTCGGTTCAGAGCAGACGCATGTTTGGACCAAGTTAAACTGGGACAGAATCCAGCATAATTCTAGGTCAGGATACAGAGCCACAACTTTTCTGGATTCTACTGAGAAAAGCAGAGTAATTGGGCCAGTATCTCTAAGCTACTATTCTGGGAAATACAAATTCAGTAAAACTGACAATACAATGAAAATTCTGAATTTAGAGCAAACGTTATATAAAATACCTTATTAGGTTAAGCCTATGGAAAAACAAGAGCTTGAGGAGATACTCACCGAAAAATTTATTTTTGTGAAACAGGTACAAGCTTTGGGTTGACACTTGTTCTGAAATATTTGGTGGTTTGGACATCTGTGCTGTTAAAGCTGTACATGGAAAGGATGGAAAAGATTATATTTTTGAGGTAAGCAATCCTACTCTTTTCAATATATGCTTTTATATATTACAAACACCCAAGGAAACAACAGTTGTGACAGTTGGGCATTGGCTTATTTGTCTTTCAGGAAAAGCTGTGTATTTTTGAGCAACGTTTAAATTGTAATACAAAGCCACACGTCCAAGTTAGTGGCAACACTTGCTGGAAAATGTAACCATATATGTGGTGATGTCTTTCAGTGTTTGAGGAAATGTACACAAGCTACAAACCAAAACCAAATGTGGATGTCACATTTTCCCAACCCTTATGATTTCTTTCCTGGGCAGGCTTACCAGTTTTTCCTGGAAGGTTTATAGATAGCACTATCCCAAGGGAACCCCAACAAAATTATACCTTTACATGGAAAGGGAAATTAAGAATTAAGTGGAAACAACTTTACTTTTTTTCTAGCCTAAATGTTACCTTTAAGATCTGATTCCTCATGAATCAGCAGTTTCTGCTGTAGATAATTGTGAAATGTTTCTCATTTACCTTAAGTTTATTATGGATAAATGCAACTTTGTCTAGCCATAAAACAAGATATCATCACTTGCCTGTCACACATTCAGGATTTCTTCAGCATCTTCCATGTTCTTAGAATTTTATTCAGGAGATAGGCAAGGATCCTCAGAATCTCCCCGCTCCAAAAGGGGTTGATACTTGTTAAAGCAGAAGTAAGAGTATCTTTTTTTAAACCATGAGAGTAACCTGGACATTACGGATTGACCCTCTCTAGTTATTTGTATCCAATTCATAAAGGAAAAAGCTTTGTAGAAGTAAAAATCTGTGTTTTGTCATAGTGTTAAACATCTCTGTGTATTTTCCTCTCTTCACTTTTCACAATTTTTTATATCACTATTGCAATTGCTAATAATTCCCAAATCAATCAATAGCACTTTAAAGGACTGAGTAGATTGCCACATTAAACCTTCAGCACAACAAACAGAATTAATCACTGCCTCCAGACATGCTGAGGCCTCCAGACATGCTGAGGCATGTCAAGAAATCCTGTTTCCTTAGTGTGCCTGGCCAAATCAGAGCTTTTGTGTCTTACCGTGTCAAAACTCACTGTAGCATAAAGTTTAGGATTGCATACTAAGCCTCCTCTGTTGCTCCTTCATATGGTGCAGTCCTTCCCTCCACTGCACCCCGAAGTTCCTGTAAATTCTGTAGTGCTTCACCCAGTGAAATCTGGCTGAGAATTGAAAGGGG